GACAACCACCACAACGGTGCTCGTTTCGGCAATCTTGGGGTAACGAGCGGTCCTCCCCTTTCTTTCTTTTTCATTCACGCAAATCACACGCGTATCCGGGTGACACACGGACTTGCGGCTCGGCACGACGTCGACGACGACGATAACGGGGAGGACGAGGAGGCCGACGACGACACACGCACGCACGCCACATACACACGCGCGGGGCTGCTCCACAAAAGAGGGAGAAAGAGAGAGCGAGAGAGAGCGCGCGCGCGCGCGCGCTCACGCACCTCGTATCACGTATCAAACGCGGAGCGGCCCATTTCCCTCGCCCTTTATCCGCGAGCTGGTCATCACCGCGAGCCACCCCGCTGCTGCCACCCCAGAACACCGCACCGTTCACCCGCGCTTCCGCGAGCTCTCGTCACCTCCCCCGTATAGATTGACCGTCGTATCGTCGTATCACGATCTCACAAATAAAGATACGCTCTTCTCTTTAACAAGTCACAAATCAAGATACTCTTTTTTCCAATCCTTATAGCAAATATCCAATCCTATGAGATATCAGAACGTTCATATCTTGTTCTTTCACCGCAATGCAAAATCAGTCCTTGAATCACGATTGTGCACGACGGTGGCCTAAAACGCTCTTTGATGATCACGAAAACAGGCCCATACGAGCGCAAGCACTCGTGCTGTGCACCGTCGCGCGCACTCGCCTCGCATCGAGCACCAGCACTGAACCCGTGAGCTGTGAGCGCTCAGCGCATCATCGGCATTCCCGTTCCCGACCGTTGCGGTCCCCGGTTTACCCCGCCACGCCGCCGACGATCCTAGAGGGCACCACCTTCTTGTAACCGTCAACAAAAGCGGGGCATAATCGAACAAATCGGAGACATATAATTAATTGATAGGATTGAGGGAAAACTCGTTCTGGAGCATCCGCAATAATATCGTGGAGAAATTTTACTATATTTTACTATATTTTGGATCTTGTATGTAGATTGTTTATTCTATATTTTTATAAAACTTGATATACGACTTAAATTTTGAGCAGATTGGAAATTTTTAGCTTTTATAAAACTTGAAAAATATTTTTCGGATAAATCGTGAAAATAAGTAATTTGACAAATAAATTTTAAATGCTATAAGAAGAAAGAAATCTTTATTAAAATTATAGTTTTGTCTTTCAATCATTATAAAGATCATTATAAAGATCCGTTCGCATTACTTGAATTTCGGTATTTCAGTGTATGTATGAGATCAGGTCAGAAGTAAGAAAATAACTGATAACAATTTATGGAGAATATTGTCAAGACATGATATCAGTTTGAGAAAATTGAAATAACAAAATTCTTTGATATATATCAAAGGATATACATAGATTTTAAACTTATGTAAATAATTTAAGCGATTATTGCATGTTATTATTGTCCACGTATGTATAACAAATTATTTTCATTCTTATAGTTTTAAAATAACGATAGAGTGAGCAGAATCCAGTTAGCATATAACAGAATTAAAGTCTCTGTTTGCTGCTAATATATGTGAAGTATATAAATAAAGTATACATTAAAAAATACCAAATGTCTATATTTCACATTGCTTTTAAGAATGTGAAAACGCAAATATTGAAGAAACTGCATAAAATATTTCATATATACACACATATATATATATATATATATGATATATATGAAAATGTGGCGAATCTTTTAATCGCCTTTTCAGTCTTTTATATTTATCGAGAATAATATAAAATTTGAAATCATAAGAAATTGACCAATTTCTCATAACTTGAGATTTTATAATTACTACGATCGGTCGCTATGCCAAACGCTATAAAAATCATCGATTTTTATAACAACTGTAGGGTTTTAAATCGACTAGGGTACCTATTATGGAACATGAATTCCGTTCGAAATTATTCCGTTTTCCGTGAAAACACAATAGAAATCTAGAGAATAATTACATGATTCCGATTGAAATCCATTTCAACTTGTTCCACGATAGGTGCCCTGAATTGGATTGCTTTGCTATTGGTTGAAATTTACATATTTTATCAATAGTAGAGCTTGCAGCGCCAATCCAATCTAGTTCAAAACCCACTACAGTCGAAAACGCTTATACATTTAAGATTGTCTTATTTTAAGCGGCGTCTACAAAATTTTAAGATATAAAACTTTAGTCACAGTTGAATGTGAGGAAAATAATTGGCTATGATCGGACAATTTCTAAAAATTTTTTTTTACATCTTAAAATCTCATTGTAGACGCCATTTTAAATACGGTCTTAAGCTGTTACGAATCAATCAGAGAATCGTATTAATTTATCTTATAAGATATTGAAACTGTTTTATGTCTGTTTTTATATAAATTAAACTTTAATCTCAGTTCAACTTACTCTTCATTTTTTAAATTCTTACAACTAGAAAAAAATAAAGAGTTAATTAAACCAAAATTAAAATTAAACTGCACTTGGTAAAAATGGGCATTCAAGAATTAAGTTTATACAAATCTATAGGTTTATAAGAACGATGAATATCACCCTACGTATCTCCTAGGATACATTCAGGAATTACATCTAGATAACTCTAAGGCTGGTATTCATAGTCGGATTTTATATTTAAGACTATCTTAAGCAGTCTTAAGATGTCACAAACTAATCAGAAGAGGTATTCAGTCAATTCTTATTTCAAGACCAGTCTTAAGTAATGTTTTAAGACGCTAATGCGGTCCTCTGATTGGTTTGTGACAAGTATTAAAACTATACTTAAGACGGTCTTAAAATAAGAATGGATGACGAATACCAACTTAAGCTATAGTTTGCGTTATACTCACAAAAAGAAGGAGACTAAATTTAAGCAATCGGTTACGAAAAAGTGGACTCGATTTCTTGCTTCAAAAAAGCATTGTACGGAAGAATACAGAGGAAGAATACACCTTTAATCAAAGATTAATCAAAGATTAAACTATACTGGACGTAAGGATTTCAAATTTCTTCGAGTGAGAAAAGAATATAGGTCATCTCACTCTTCCACCAATCGGCGTGTATATATCATGCATATACATCGCTACTGGTGGAGAGATGAGATGGCCTGTACTCCTTTCTCGCTCGAAGAAATTTGATGAAATCTTTATGGCACTGAACTATGGATACGATCAACAAATGCTACAAATGCTTTAAAGCAATTTTTGATTGGTCAATTTGTAAAATTCTTTTTTCTAATTGGTCAACTAAACACTTCAAAGCATTTGTAGTGAGATTTTGACCGCAGTCTATATATACACTAGGCATCGAGGAAAATTCATGGCCACAATTCATCAACCGCCAATTTTAGTTGGGATGATTTTGAGGGAATCAGAAGCGTTCGCGCACTGTGATGTATCGATGTATTATCGATGTATGAAAATCTTTTTATTAGTACATTTAATAAAATAACATTAATAACATTTTTTATATCTTACATCGTGCATATACATATGTGCAGGAATTGATATATTTAATACAAAAATTATTATCTATAAAATAAAATGTCCTTTTTATTTCTCTGCCACCCTCAGGTACACAGCACTTCATGTTGATGCTTTGCACATTTTACAGTGCTTTGCACATTTTTCACGCGATTTTATAATTTTTCAAAGTAATCTTTTAAATATAATCCCACTCTCTCTCACGATCTTGCTTTTTTAGTGAGACATATGCGTAGAAAATTATATTATGGTATTCATAGTCAGATCTTAGATCTGTTTTCTGTGGCTAACTACTACACTTTTGGAACTTAAAGCGCTCGCTGCTATTGATGTATTCTTCCAGATCTAAAATGCTGATTGGATGATCTAAAAGAATACACCAATAATAGCAAGCGTTCACTCAACTGTTAAGTCCGCTGAACACAATCATTGTGAGATAGATGTACGTTTGATATTTATTTAAAGCGAGAAAGATAATTCTAGAACAGTCTAGTGCAGGAACAGAAAACAGACCACTTATTGCTTCTGCACACTGGACGCGGAAACGCTTGCCGCACGGCAAAATGTGAAGCGATAGCCAATAAGCTTACAGTTCCTAATGTATTCATTAGTTATCATGTGCAGAAGCCATCATATTTAAAACCGTCTTAAGTACGATCTTAAGAAGATTCATGAATCAATCAGAGAGAGACTACATTAGTGTCTTAAGGCATTACTTAAAGGCCATTCTACATTGGTCGTACTGTAGCGTCGTAACATCATGCGACTTTAAAATTGAAGCATTGGATTGGCTGAAGCAACACGCTTGTGACTTGTGACGTCTACGATACGACTAATGTAGAATGATCTTAAGATGGTCTTGAAATAAGAATCGACTATGAATACCAGTCTATTACTCGTATTTTAATGCCCATATTCATAGTCAGACCTTGACCTTTAGATGCTCAGCCAATAAAATAATTCATAGAGTATCTAAAAATAAATTTAAGGAAGCTTTAAGTATAAGGCCTGACTATGAATACGGGCATATGATTCGAATATAAATCATATGTAAAATGAGTAAACTTCTAAACTTCTAAACTCGCCCAATTTCTTATCTAGGGACTATTAAGCCGTATTGCTGGCAACCGCGTTATCGCCATCTTTAACGTTGTAAGTAACGGTCGCTACTGGTCGCTGCAAGTCGTTTCGAAGTTGAGAGTTCACACGACAATCACGATCAGTTCGGTGTGGTTGAGTGGCGATGCACGTTGTATAATCGTTTTGTATCGTCTCTGCGCATTTTGAAAAGAACAAGGAATTTTTGACGATTTTCGAAATATGAAGTCTGCTTACTTGATCTGTGCGTTACTGTGTGTGCCACTGGTGCTGGCCGTGGAGGGTGAGTTGGTTAATTCTAAATATTGGCGCGTAATGATTACAAATGTATTGCTTATACATGCGTAATAATGAAACTTAAAGCACGCGGTATCGGGTGGATAGTAGTCAGTTATTGTATTCCACGTCTTATCGAGGGACGCCTACTCGCATCGAATTACCGATAACGGCACTGTCGGTTTTTTCCAGTAGCGACGTTCAAGAAATTTATGCATTCGTAGACTTGCGCTTCCGCATTCAGGCGATCATAACTTTTTCTTTAAAGTGGAACCGTGAAAAATGAATTTTTATATATGCCTATACACCCACATACATACAAGAAATTTTCATGTTTCTACTCTAGGGATAAAGTTACATGATCGCTACTCTGTTCACGCGTAAAGATGTTCTTTTTTGAGAATATTCTTTTTTTCTTTCTTCTTTTCGAGAGAAGTCTATAAAAACATAAGATTGATTAGAAAAAAAAAACATCGAGCTGTTAAAAACAGCGACTCAGCACATGTCTCTTACACATGTTCGACCTTCGTTACACAACAGCGGTAGTCTCGAGTAGATTACTATTGATTTTCGCTGACCACTACCATCCGAATCTTAGGTATGACGATAACAATCGAAGCGCGCAATGACTTAATGTTTTATCGTCGTCAGCACAGTTCGCGGTTGCCGATAAACGATATACATATAAATACTACTGATACTGAAGAAGTTGAAATCTCGTCATATATAAAAAGAAAAACATTCTTTTTATGTATGCCCGTTTCTACCAATGTAATTGATAGATTTCAGTTAGACTTCATTTTTTTAAATTTATAAAATAGAAAATGATGAATTAATTGAATTGAAATTAATTGATGAATTAATTGAATTGAAATTAATTGAATTAAAATTAAACTACATTGCTAGAAATGGGCGTTAGTTGAACTGTTTATCTTTCCTCTTTTTTACTCTATGAAGAGAAAAAGAGGAGAAATGAATAAGAAGTTCAATTAAAATGACAGATCTAAAGATATTGATATGGGTTTGCATTTGTCAGACTTTAAGTGATTTACATCTTAAGTTGATTTACATCTGAAATTATTTGACACAGTAAAAAATTAAGAAAGTATCTTGAAACGAAATGAAAACTACAAAAGTGAATAAATTTATTAGATGACTAATAAATATTGTAATGAATTTGTCATTTTTTTTTTTTCATATCAAAATACATAATTCTCAGGTAGAAATTATATTCGAACGCAATAAAATTTTTTAAATTGCAGAACATCGATCTGAAAATATCATTTATATCATTACAGAATGAAATTGAAATTTCATTTTATTTTCCAAATTTTATTTTCGTTTCATATTTTTAAGAATGAATATTATTAATTAAGTAATATCTTAAAATTATTTTACTTAATGTTTATGAGTGATGTGCATATGCGTTTATGCACGATGTATAAAAAAATATTTGCTCGTTATGAGAACAAAATCAACCTTTGAATATTTTTTTTTCATTAGAAATTGCAAGAAAGACAGTTTTAAATGTACATAAAAATTGAAATATATGGAATATTTATTTATTAAAAAAATTAATGTATGGATTCTTCATACATTCAGATACAACGCAAAATGGAACTACTTCTCCAATGGAGTCTTCAAACCATAGTAATCAGACTCAGCTCACAGAAAAGACTACTGCTGTACCAATGATTAATGCAATTACTACAACTTCAAATAGTACTACTCCTACTCCTACTACTCCTACTACCTCTACTACTACTACTTCTACAACTGTTACTACTCCTACCACTAACTCCACTACTGTTACTCCTACTACTACTACTACTACTACTACTACTACTACTACCACTACTACTACTACTGTACCAACAAATACAACAACAACCAGCATTCCAACATCTCCACCTACATCCACTAGCACGGCTTCATCGAAGACAACAGCTGTACCACCATCTTCTAAGGATCGTCAATTTGATGGTCTAAGCTTTTTTGGTAAGAGATGTTATTCTGTTAGTTATTTCTATAAATTAATTGAGAGACTGTATCTTACAATAGATAAGACAATAAAATAAAAAGTTTTACAAAAATTTTATTAAAATAATTAAAATTGCATAAATTACAAATACTGGTTATAAAAAAATTTTTTTAGATGAATTTCTTTATTATAAATTTTTCATTGTATTCGATTTAATGTAACAGATATGGTTAAATATCAAATAGTCATGCATATATTTTTGTTGCAGGTGGTATTATCCTTACTACGTGTTTGATGGCAATCGCCGCGTTCTCATGGAAGTTCTATAGGCAATGCAAGGAAGGAAACTACCGTACACTGTGATAACGTGCAAGGCGCTACATAACAGACTTTCGTCAAGTAAACACAATTAATTGAATTAAGAACTATGAATAATTATTTTATTGTAATAATATTGCGTATTTTTATAACGCAGTTAAAGTGTTGCGTGGTTAAGTGCTCTTAGTAATGTGATGTACAACCACGTTCCGTTTTTCTCGATACATGTATGTAATAAAGAGGGAGGGAGGGGTCATGTGTATTCATATGTATTGGAAACAACATTGTATGTATATGCGTCATTTTACTAGTAGATGAGAGATTGTGACGATTACGTGTTGCAAGTAGGAGCAGTAGAGGATATGAGGGAGAGGGAAAGTGGGCGCATTGACGAAAGCCAATGACCAATCAAATGTACATTCCATAAGAGAGAAAAAAGGGAGATAATAATTCTTTAACGCGTATTATCCTTCTTATTAGCTTTCGCTCAAACTGTTAGCAAGCTATATCTTTAATCTGATATATACATTCTGATATATACTGGTATATACATTCCGCAGTAAAGTTATATAAGATCTGATTTTTCTACGAGAAGAGAGAGAGAAGAGAAAGTATTAAACTTAAGAAACATTGAGCTCGATACAGGTATTTTAGCGTGAAAACGCTATGCCAAAGCGAAACGAATCTTCGAAATATTCGAATTTCAAACAGACGTATAAATTACATCGACGCGTCTGAGACGCGCTATATAATATGAATACTTAAAGCCGGTTATTGGCTGTTATTTACAAAATATATATATATATATATAATAGTTTTGTGGTATAATATATGATATGCACAAATTAACTCTCTCCTTTATATATCCTTATCACTGGTCTTGCTCTACAATATTTTTTCGACAAAATCTGAGCAACGCGTAGATAATCTTATAAACATCTTATAAACACAAAGTATCATCAAAATGAAAGTTCCTTTTTTAAATTAGATTTTGTATTTTTTTACATATTTATTTTTATTTACTTAATATCGCCTAAATTTGCATTGTATATGTACAATATGCATATAACAATTTTATTTTTTTGTAATTCCGTTCTTGAGAATACTCAAGATATTGTCGATTATTTACACGTTGCAATCGTAACCGCCGTTGTCATAAAACTCTCTTTAAATTCTTAAAAATACTTATTCGTTAAATAGAATGCCTAAGTATTAAATAGTTCCTTTCTCACATATTCGCCTAAAATGAATCAAAAAATCAAGGAAATGCTTTTTACTTTTTCTTTTTACAACATATTATCAATAAATACACAATTTAATTTACGATTTTTTTCAAAGCAAGTATTGTGAGATAATATTTTAAATAGCACAGTATTGTATTAAGGTCCAGTTTCATAATTCACTGTTAACTCTTAATCGAGGTTCAACCTGTTTCTCATCTCTTTCCAGTTCTAGAATTAGAAAGAGATAATGGATAAGTTGAACTTCGATTAAGAGTTAACCATGAGTTGGGAAATTGGACCTAAAGGCGGTATTCATAGTCGATTCTTATATTCAAGATTTCTTAAATACAATCTTAAGATGTCACAAATCAATCAGAGGGCCGTATTAGCATCTTAAGACATTACTTAAGATGATCTTGAAATAAAAACGGACTATGAATACCGGCCTAAATATGTTAAGCGATATTCTAAGTATAACGTGTCATGTTTATTATAAAAAAAAAACAAAGAAAGATATATTATATGTTACATTGTGCAATATCTCTTTCAGTTTGTCTATACAACATTGAAAATCCAAATACTGCATTAATATTTTACGAAGCCTATAATCCTCTTCCTGATATTTCTTTCTTAATTACTATTACAGTCGTAAAGTATCATTATCATAACAGATATATCTCTTGCATCATCTTTCCGTTTTGTCAATATTTTTTATTACGAAGAGAATTTTGAAAAAAAACAAATACATGATCTAAATAGAGTAAATTCTTATATTTAATATCATTTTAGCGGTTTTGACGATACCAATAGCAAACATAGCGGTTCTCGGCCCAGCGATTGATTGTTTTTGCAATACCGGAGGAAAGAGTGTTTCTTGCGCATCATCGTTTACTTCTGCAAACGAGAACAATTCTGATGTCATTTTACAATTTATACGTCGCTCAACCGAACAAATTTTTTGTTGCCATTATATCGGGAATACAAAGAGATACCTTATCTGTTTTCGAACATCTTAATTACTGTTTTATAATAATTTAATTTGATATTTTCAAACAAATTCATTCAATAATCGTAATTGCTGCCGAACAGAGAATCGCTACGTGTTTTGCAATTGGCATCGCCAGAACTGCTGACGCGATATTAAATACAAGAATTTACCCTGTTCAGAAAGGGTATTGATCGCATACCGCCATTGTTATACGTACTTGACACACATATTTCCGCTTAAAACTAATATACTGCTTACACACACACACATACACACGCATACAGAAACTCGCGACTTTAATCGTTGGTTCCTCAAGAAAGGAAAATCCATTATGTCGCACGAAGGTGCAAAAGAAGAAAAGAAAATAACGAGGAAAGGTGAAAGGACAGATCGATAACGAGAAAACCACCTACCGGGTATTGTGAATAAGGATTTACATTTACCAGAGAGAGAGAGAGAGAGAGAGAGAGAAAGAGAGAGAGAGAGAGAGCTACAATTTCATAGCTGCAACGAGATATCCGATGCGGCAAACACGGATGAAACAGTGATATTGCAGTCGATAAACTTGTTTGGTTTGCAATAATTTATTCGGTTGAAAATTTGTTAATAGTTCCTTCTGAGAAAACGATTGTAGGATATTCAATTATCACGCATGTATTTCGGAAAATTCCAACATTATATTTAGAGTAGTGTATAATTTATACAGAACGGTTATCTTGAATTATTAACTGTTGAAGATATTCTAATTCGATATTTTTAATAATCTGCTTTAAAAAATATTTTAATAAATTCTAGATAATAACAAATATTTTCTTCTCCATTCTATATAAATTATACAACATTATAATAATGATATAAGAGGAATATGGAAATAAAATAATATATAATTGATAATAGTATTATATCTATATAATATTAGTACAATAAATCAATATATCAAGAATATCAAATCACACTATGAATATAATAAGATTATGATATACATTAAAATATAATCATATTATAGTATATTATAAAATATTTTATTCAATCAAGTCGAACGTTATGGAAGTCACATGTGATTTTATTCCCGTCTCATTTTGCGCATATTGAGCGTGCGAGTGTTGCGGCATAACATTCCCAGAGATGAGATAGGATATGGAAAACTAGATAAGAAAAACACACGCGTGCAAAAGATCGCGGCGAGATGAGTGACATAATAAAAAAAAGAGGAAAAAACCCCAACGAGACATTGCCTTTCGTTTCGTGTGAAACGTCTGACGAAAACATGTATTATTATAATTATTATTATAATAATTATTAT